TGCAACTCTCCCGACTCTCCTCCAACAGCAGTTGATTCAGAATTAAATATCCAATACAGACTGAGTCTAGTTGATTTGATAGTCCACTGGTGTTGAAGTCAGTTTTGACTGGGAGTTGAAGGTCACCAATGAACCCTCTGAATCACTCGGTAGCATCACAAGACTCACTGCTTTAAATCACTCAGTACTATTGATGGCAAGAAGAGTTGGGCCAGGGTCACGTACTTATTCCTATCAAGTCATAAAAATAACTAATAGGCTCAAGTTCTTCTCTAAGGCTCACAGGGAGTGGCGAGCGAGACACTTATGAGACCCAGGCAGGGAGACCAGCGGATGTACCCCGGTCCCTAGGAGGCACACCCATATATGAACTGTGAGACACTTGCCTTATGTACTTCCCTGTGATACATCTTGTGTTGTCTAGTTTGTCATTTAGGAATCTCTTGATGAATGAAGGTGGGAGACCAACCTGCTCTCTCTATAACATCTGCTAGGTTCATTCTTCTGAAGGTCAGCAAAGAAGCAACTCCCCTAACAACATGCACTCTTGGTATAGCATTAACTTGAATCAATTTTACTATTTAATCAAGAGAGATTTGTTTGAGCCTGACTGGCAAGACAAGATATGGTTCAAGAGGATATTGGGAAGACTTTCTGAGGTTCAAGTGCCCTTTCAAGGTGTGTACAGGACAAAGAACCTGATGATGACAATTCCCAGCTTCTATTCTGATACTATAGGTTGAGATTCTTGGGCCTGGAAGGAATTTCATTCTTTGGTCTAAGCTGATACCAATTACAGCGAGAAAAACAAATGAAATTCAATTCTCTGGCAAGAGCATACAACTCACAGTCTCTCTCTCTTGAAGCAACAGCATGAGGAAAACCTTTTGCTTTCCTAAGGAAGTTTAATCCAAATATTAATATTACTTAAGATTTCCAATATAGCCAAGGCAGTGACCTCTTTACTGCTTTGAAACAATAAATTTATTATTATTTTTTAATCGATATATTTTTATAAGACTAAACAGCTAATCGTGACTTGTCTTCTCTGGAGCAACAACAGTGGAAGGAAATTCATGGCCAAATACTGTTGTTTCATTAATTTTGTACAGTACTGTACATTCTGAGGAGCAGCTTGAAACTCTTCCAAAAGTCCTGTTGATCTACTTTTTGAGAGAAAATGTACTGTAGGTGGGGATTAAACCTTTGCTTAAATGGACCAATTAAAATAATTTCCTAATTACCTTCTACCTCCTGTGAGTTACACTGGAACAGGACAACAACCTGGATTAAGTTTTATTGATTCGATCGTCAGAGTGATCAACAGCTCCCAAGGAACCTGTCTGAAGATGGGGGAGAAAACTTTTCAACCTTGTGTTCTGTCTCCTGGTAAAACATGTTGTAGATGACCGAGAGCAATCTATCATCTCATCTGAGGAAGACTGATAGTGCAAGCATGAAGAACCATTTACTGATGGGTTCCTGACACAAAAGTCTGATCACCAAACAGTCCAAATGTGACAAAGACTCTTCACAAGTCAAGCCAGAATTCATTAAATATTTAAGCTATCAATCTAATGGTTCACAGCCTTTAATAAAAAAAATATGTCTTGAAGGACTGACCACAAAGCTTCATTCACTAAGTTACAAAAATCAAGGACTACTGTAACATAATGAACAATACTTAAGTTTTTGACTGTTGACCAAAATACCAAGTAGTATTTTCCATCAAAAAATGTTTTCTTCAGACTCAGAAGGAGAAGTCTTAGGACCAAGATGGAGCTAGGAATAAAGGTCTCACAGATTGGTCTCTGGTAAACATGGGTCCCCAGAAAATTGAGTCCCTAGGAAATTTGGACCCTTGGAAAATGATGGGTAAATGGGTACCATGAACCTAACCTAACCCAATTTTCTGGACCCTGACCAAGATGAATCATGTAAGTCAGCAGTAAACCTTGCCACAGATGACACAAGACTTCACTATCTTCTCAAAGTGTATAAGTATGAAGGTTCCTAACCATCATTCACCCCCTCAAGAAAAAATATTCCCAAGATCAGCTCTCGATACAGTATTAATTACTTCTTAAAGCTGAAGGAGTTAAGTGACCTTCACCATTTACTGTTGTGTGAAGGATGGTTTGTACTAACTAGAAAACAGTTCTGCATTAACCGACACTATAAAATTCCTGTACAGTATTAAGTAAAGTTATCCACAGTCTAAGTACACCATATACAGTACCTGCATTGTCTATACACATGCTGAACTATACATACATAGTCTATACACACGCCAAACCAATTGTAAACTTGTATGATGATTTTACTGAATAAATATACAGTAGTTTTATTATTCTGTATTATTATTATTTATTATTATCATCATCATCATCATCAATAATAATTTGCATGCATATTATTAACTTACCACACAAATTTCCTGTAAAGTGAGCTAATGTTTGTATGTAGCAGCTGACTATCAAAGTTTTCATCTCGGCAAAATACATCACAGGAAAACATCTCACACACCAAACAAGGACACCACCAGAACACACATGGACCTACAGTAGTTGTGTGAAGATGTCATGGGCTTGATTTATTTTTCTATTCACTAATGATGAAGACAACAGATGGTACAAGCTAAGCTGGAGATATAGCATGTACTGAGTTTCACCAGCACTAATTACCTGGTTTTGAATCAATTGGCATTGATTAGGTGAAGTAAAATTAAAGTAAGTTTGTGAACCATAACAGGAAATATATCAGTATCTCTCTCAGCTCCTGCTTTATTATTTCTCACAAGCCAAAACATCAAAATGGTTCAACTTTATGGTCATCTTCCCACACCTTCTTCCCACACCTGAGGTAAACGAAGTCTTCATCCTGAAACCCCATTTTATGACTCAAGCATTATAACAATAAGTTTACTGACTGTAAACTTAGGTGTACCCTTAAGACCTTAATGGCTGGGACTGATTCATGTTACAACCAAGTTCCCAAAGGGATGTTTAGCAGCAAAACTCACCACTTAATGTAGACAGTAACAAAGCATTAACACCACATCAGTAGTTTACACTATATGTAACAAGTGGGATGGACACACTGGAATTTCAGGAGTCCATCCATTCAGGTACAACTAATTTGTGTTACCCACAGGGAGGTGTGAAGATCGCCAAGTTGCTTCTTGACAACCCTGACGATCTACTGGGGTTAACCCGTAGGACAAAGAGAAGCTAAAATTTTACATGGGTCTGTGCCATGGCCAAAATTAAATACAGTATACTGTACATGGGAAAAAATAGTCATACCAAATTTCAGCTGTCTTATGTTAAAAGCTGTAGTCGTGCACTAGGGGCCTCACCTTTAGGTGGGGGTTAGCCCTGTTGGGCCTACCTCCCCCCCTGTTTAGCTGTTCATGAACATTCTTGGAACTAATGTATTTACTTAAGTATATAAAATCTCAGCTTTCTATCATAAAAACTGTGGCTGTCCATAGCAAAGAAGCAGAAAATAGGTGTGTTTTTAATGAAGGGGTTGGAGGGGGAGGGGGGGAGGGGTGTAACCACAGGGACCTACCCACCAAAAAATTCCACCTTGATGACATTTCTACGGGGGCATGCACATGCAGCATATCCATGCCAAATTTCAACTGATGATCTACAAAACTGCAGCCGTGAATAGCACGCACACGCACGCATGCATACATACGCATGCACGCATGCATGCACACGCGCACACACACACATAAAACAAACCAACAAACATACAAACACTGTGCTTTATGTATACTGTACATAGATAAGGATGCTTTTTCCTACAGGCTACAAGCAGTACTCTGCTGAATCAAACTTGACTAGTTTGTTGAGTACAGTACAGCATGACTGTCTTAATTCTTAAACAAATCTTTATTAGTTATATTTTTACTCTGCCTAATTCAATATTTTATAAACTTGTTACCTTGTACTTGAGGTAATATGAAGAAAGAGTACTGTACTTCTACTTTTACTAGAATAAGTTTTTCTCAGAGTAACAGTATTTTTACTTAAGTAACTTTTTCCAGTATGTCATCCACCAGTGTACAGTACAGGAGTCACTCAGTGGAGGGTGATGGGTCATGAGAACTATCACATGTTAAAACAATCTAGTACAGTAGTTCATACTGATCCTTGTGGGGAAAAATAAGATCTAGGATGCATAAATGTACTGATACAAATAGTTGAAAAATTAGCAGACTAACAATGGACACAACTTGACAGGACAGGACAGTACAGTCTGTTGAAACAAGCTACAATCCTCACAACAATCTGCTTCAAAGTGAATGACTGACTGTACACAAGATCTGGGATAACAGTACCTACAAGTACAATCATTAAAACATATAAATTAAACAGCATCACCATCTTCATGCTCTGAGGCAAAACCAAATATGTGCAAACACAAAATCTGAGTCACATGTAGCCTATAGATATATCAAGGAGAGGAAAACAGAAGACAAGACAAGAACATCTACACATTAGTAGAGATTATAACACCTAACACTGTACTAACAGAGAGAGACAGAGAGAGAGAGAGAGAGACAGAGAGAGAGAGAGAGACAGAGAGAGACAGAAAAGAGACAGAGAGACAGAGAGACAGAGAGAGTTTAAACAGATAATAATCTGCCCCAAATGACCAACTACCCGCTGACATGAGACAGAAACAAGTACAGACAGACAATAGTAAAACTCCGTGGCCTCTGTAATACTTGAGGATGTGTTCCCACCTGTCTGCACATGCTTACAACACATGTTAAAAGTTGTTTGCTCAGTAAACAAATCCACGCAGTTATGCTGTGTCAATTTGGCTCGCTAAACTCCTGGTATTGACCATTTGACATCAGCACATATACTAACTGACTGAGGTTTATGTATTCATGTTATCTTAATTCAGGGAACAGTAATGATCAGGTTGGTCGTCTCTTTGTTTACTGAATAGCAGATTTCCACATGGTCAAGGGTTCTTACTTGCTTTTCGTGCAGTGGCTGGTCCAGAACCTTAGGGATGAGAGGAGAGAGAGAACAAAGAAGAAGAAAGCCAAACCCATATATACCTCTTAAAATCAAATCAATAATATATATGAGAAGAAATCCACAATGGCAGACAAGATGTTTCTTCTCATACTCTGTTGTTCACGTTATGGTGACTCTCCGGCCATCATTATTACGTGTTAATTGGACATTTCTAAAGTATATCTAACGTGACACTTAAGGAGCAATCATAAATAAAATAAATAAATAAATAAAAATATATTAATATTTTCAGGGTGATACCAACTATGTCACCCCATGTAATTCTACCACTGAGACGTGTTGGTAAATCTGATACGACCAAAATTCTGAATGTTTCATAATATCAAAACAAACTCTAATAAATAATAAATACACTAAATTATATATGTGACTGTAACTGTGACCAAAACCAGTAAAAACATAATAAACTCTCGTTACACTCACAGTGGTTCTTAGTAGTGGTAATCAAACAAGTACTGTACAATAAAAATACAACACTTTTCTTAATGCTGTGCAGAACTGTGTCACTATAGTATGGATTTCCACCAAACGTTTCCAAAGACAGCCTGAGAATTCTCCAGTGATTAGATTTAATTTAACTATAAACACCAGTAAAAAATGCTATACTGTATAAGGTCAGGCTGTCACCTGGGTGAGATTTACTGACCTACTGTAAAGTGTTCCAGAACTTGTTGACATTTAGTTAAGTGCTGCAAATCTATTAAACAGAATTTTCACACAAGAAAAGTGTAGGAACACGTAAGTCTGTCCCGGCTACTTCTCCTCCCATACCTCAGAAACAGATATAGTGAGCCTTATAACTATTAGATCAACAATTAATAAAAAAAATCAGTGTCACTAAAACTTATTTTCTTTGTTTAGCATAATGTTAACAGCATCATATGACCTTAAAAAAGGGAAACTTTCTGACAAATTTTTTACCATAACTACACAGAAAAGTATGTGAGAATGATATGGATGTTACCATTACAGGCCAGAAAGACCACAGTGCCAAGACCATCACCCCAGAAACTATCAGTCATCCATCATCTCTGACTTGATCATAAAAAATGGGTTTCCCAAGCAGGTCCCATGTTGTTTCAGTTCTTGTTGCTACTCTCCACAACACAGGGAGAAAACTGAGTCATCTGTAAACCTCTGATCATAAAAAAAGAGGCTGTGACGATGGTTCATGACACAGAAGTGAGACAAATCATGGGAGGAGAAGAGGAGGAATTTAACCAAAAGAAGTAAAAATTGCCCAAAGAAGCTGAGAAGTTATAGTCAATGGTTAATAACTGATGTGAATAACTCTCAACTGTAGCTGAATTAGACTATGAGTCTCATACATGAGGATGAATCAGATATGAATTACTCTTATATGTTATTGAATCAAACATAGGAGAGTGGAAGACGGGGCTACATGAAAGACTATACACTCAAACAAACAAACAGACATGACTTTTGGCTACCATTCTCCCTCACTTAATGACCTAGATGTTAGTGGTGCTGACTAATATTAGGAAAAGTACATTAATATTTCCTACTGATGGTTCTATGATGCCTACAAGGTATCTCCACTAAATGATGTATCACTCCTCCTCACTCTACAAAGAATGCCACACATGCACGCACACACGCACCCAAGCATGCACGCACACACACACACACTGGTACTTCCCATTACTCTCCATTTTCTTGTCTACCTATTTTTTTTTATCATCTTATCCCCACTATTAAAATTACTTACAGTAGCATGCTGAATTCATTTTACAAGAGCTCTTATTGCTTACAGTATGAATAACCGACAAATGTTCCACCTAAGTACCTGTAGTGTGTGTGTGTGTGTGTGTGTGTGTGTGTGTGTGTGTGTGTGTTAATGGGTAGGTGAAGAAGGAACAACTTGGCCCTGAGATACAAATTGGATGGAAGAGACGTTGGAGAATGGTGTCAGAGTATATGTTGGTAACAAAGATGGTGGGAGGAACATACAGTCAAGCTCACTATAAAACTGGTCTTACTACTACTACCTGTACTACTACTCCCTGTACTACTACTACCTGTACTACTAATACTAAATTAATAATAGCTGGTCTTTTCTGTCTCATAAGCACCAGTTCTTTCTAAACAACTCACTAGCTCTTGAAACACGTCTACAAACCCAAAGACTTGAGAATAAAAAGAAATACCGAACTGTACTACAATAGTCCGACTTCTATCAATCATATACCCTTAAGTTGTTTCTTAAAGGCTTCCACAGTAGTCAGCTGCTTCTTGGATGAAGGAACAAAAGTAAATTGAAATATCCAAACATATTTCCACGTCAAAATTGCCTGTTATGTTTAATGTTAATACTGTATGTTCCAAAGAATTTACAACACTCATTCTATAACTGGTCTTACTTACATTTGGGAAATATCTTACTACCACAGGCATAAAGCAACATAGTAGTACAATATATAGAAAGAGGGAGAGGGAGAGAGATTACCAAAAAGTAAAAAGTAAATTATTCATATTCAAATACAGTACAGTATATAAAAAATAACCTCAAATAGTTTTCTCTATAATTAAAACAAAAAACAGGATGACTGTTTTTGATGGCTAAAATAAACCATGATGATAATACTCCCTAAAAGTTAGTGTACAGTACAGTACATATGTATAAAAAATAAACCTTCATATTAATATACAGTATCCTAAAAATTTGTGTACATCTCCCCACCAAAAATAGCCTTAAAAATAAAATACAATACTTTAAAAGCTTTGTGCATTAAAAAAAGTTCCACAATGCTATTATTGCTTAAAAAAGTTTGTGCAAGAAAAATAAATAATTTCAATAAAAACTTCTCACAATGCTTTTATACAGCACTACTACAGTATACTTTAAAAAGATCTAGGCATACAAGTACAGTACTTCAAAAAAATCTGCTACAATAACACACCTTAAAAACTTTGTGCTGGTAAAAAAGAAAAAAAAATCTACAATTACCAAGTTTAAAAGCTGTGTGCACATGTCGATAACTAACCAACATAACTAGCACTCCTTAAAACCTTTTGTGTGCACCACTAAAAAGATCCGCTAAGCTAACATACCTTAAAAGCTCTGTGTGCCCTTAAAACTGTCGAGCAGAAAATAAATCTCAGCGTCAACAGTCTTAGAAAGTCGTCACCAAAAAATTGAAGGAAAGATGGATCTGCAAGACACAAAATGATTAACTTAAAAGAGCTACACGCAACATTGACACGAGCTCTTACCACACAACATCACTCCTCCTCACCAACCTAACCAACTGCAACTTAAAATACAACATACAACTTCAATAGACACAAGAAAAACATAAAGGTTGACGAGGAGACGGTATACATCACATAATATACATCTGGAACAACGTAGTTTTATAATGGAATACACTATAACTACTGCATTTATACATCCTACAATACTGCAGTACCTAGCCCAACTTTCTCCTTTTTAAGTGGGTGAGTATTCTAAGGGGTAATAAGTGGCTAGATTACATGTCTAGTTCTCAAAGCCATGAGTCTTCTGGGTGTGAGGCTCCTTACACTCTAGTGGAGGATCTCCACTAACTTTCCTAACATAAAGTGATCACCTGTAGACCCAAGCATAACTTCTGTACTTAGTCAGGTCAACTGATGTTGTTGGCTTAGTCGTGCCCTACAGTCAGTTATATGTCGTGCATCATGTGAGGAAACCACCAGAAGATGAGCCTTTCCAGTAGTCTATACCTGTACATATATTAGCCCTTGTGATTTAGGCACAGCATTAGGTGTCCTGCTGCTCACTAGTCAGAGTTCAGTTCTCTGGTTGAGGTGAGGATACTCGAGGAAATATTTTGTTTTACCTTCTTTAAGTTATAATGTATCACTCACTACCTACACATTCATCTATAATGTGCTATACCATATGATTAAATATATTTGTATATGAAATATTAATAATCTTATCTGTTATCCTCTCTTTTGTACATTCAGATCATAATCATTATTATTCTGTTATACCTAGAATGCCTGGTGGCAGTCTATGGACACACATCCACCTACCACCAACAAGAGGTCCAGAAGTCCTCTCCATTGATGAATCTCTGGGTTACTTCATGTTTAAAAGTAGCTGAGAAAAGTAATAACAACAGTCAGTTAAATGAATGAACAGCAGAGAGGTGAAGGAAAGGCCAACTTCACTGTTGTATCATCAAACTTGTGGTCAGGGGGAGGTAAACTAATGGAGGACGTTCAAGAATGTGTAAAAGTAACCAGAAAGAGATAGGAAGAGAGAGAGAGTGAGGATGGAAGAAAGGCTAAGAGCAAGGGTAGCTACATGAGAGGGATAATAATAATTAATGGCAGGAAATATGCAGGAATGAAGATCTGTGAAGGAAACTGCAAGAGCCACCTCTGGTTTGACGGGAGGTGGTGGTATAAAACATACAGCTAATATTTCATAATAATGATTACTACAATGAACTGAATACACGAGCAAAACTTTTTTTTAAATTATAAATAGTTTCATGTCACAAACAACTGAGCTAAAAATGGTGAACAGATCTAACTACAAATAAGAACCCATATAAGACCCTTAACAACCATTACCGTACAAATTGGCCAATCTTGCCATGCAACTTACCAACATTTCTTCCTCGAGTGACTAATCTAGAGGCTTCAGTGATGAATCTGTCGACCAGAGTCTGACACTTCTCCCACAAATTCATTGGCACATCACATAATGAGCTCACTAAACACATGCCCATCAGTGGAGAGTGTAAGAACAGGGTGAATAGATTCCCTCGGTGGTGTTGGTCTGTTGAAGAAAATACACTACATTATTTGAAAACATTATCAAGACTCTTAAGTTATTTTTGACAAGTTAACACATATACTGTATCTTTAAAATGAAAATTAGCCCGCACGCATGCACACACGCACGCACACGCACGCACACACACACACACACACAGTAATAATAAATATAAACCTACTAAACAGTCCTGTACTGTTCCCTCAATAAGGACTGAGGCAAGAGGATAGTTACCAAGTGACCAAGATGAGAGCGATACAACAAGCAGTAAAAGTAAAGACAAAACTGTAAAGTGACAAAGAAGAGACCAACCACCAGTACAATAAGTGGTGAAAATATAAATAAAAAATAAAATATTGAATAAATGACAAGAGTAAATATGGTATTAACACCCAGATGGATGCTGAGGGGAAGAAATGCAAGTACGGTATTTCTCCTGAGGAATATGAAAAACTGTGCAGGGTAAAGTAAATAAGATCTGGATGACTGATAACCACAGTACTAAGGGATATATTACCCAAGTCTGTTCTGCCATTAATGTTTCATAAGTGCATAGTCAAAGTATCAAGAGATGATTCTCCATAACTACACACAGCGTGAAGCATCAGAGATTCCAATACATTATGTCAATATTTTAGGCACAACACCCACCTGCCTACCAATACTTATGTGATCTATATGGGACAGATCCTTGTTAAATAATTTGAATAGTTCACTTTAATATAAATACATAGTTTTATTTAAAATATTGTACACCCTAATGTACTATTACAGAGGATGTGCTGTTTACTACACCTTAACAACTCACCAGGGATAGACAGATACGTCATAAACACATCCCAAGAAGTAATAAACAGTATTTCAGTTAAGACCAGAATAAATGACATAGGGTTTGGCAAGGTATTATTTGTGAAGTAATGGAACCAGTAGGTGAATACTGAATATTTCCAAAAGAATCCCTTTTAGGTGCATTACCTGGGATAATGGGCTGGTATGACCTGACAGTAGAAATAGACTATGTTATGAGAGAGGTAACTTAGGCTCATAAGAAATATGTTATTACTTCCTAAGTGACTCGACTGAACAACCTGCTTCATAGTTAGCCATTTGTTGAATACTCTGAAGGATTATAATATGCCCAACACTTAAACCTAAAGGAGTATATAATAATCTGTTGAGAGAGGAGACACAACAGGCAGCTTTTAAACACCCTACAACAGAACATCAAGTACATATAAAGATCCTTTAATTCTACACCCGACTATACTCTCCTTAGGAACCAGAAGAATCTGCTCAAAGAAAGGACTGTTGCACATTGTGAAGTGAAGGCACAGTACCAGGTGGTATTGCTTACCAGCATATCACGAACTGGAGTGATAAATAAATGTAAACTCTCTACTAACATGACAAGCACACCTATAAATCCACCTCAGACAGTGTACCAAATAATGTGTCCTGATATAAGTGTCCAGAAAATGTTTAAGAAAGCCTCCAAACATTGGTGGCCTCATCCAAGAGTCATTCTAGATAGGTGTGAGTTATAAATGGTGTTCTTTGTATGCAAATGAATTGAGTTAAATAATACATTGTAAATATGACTACGATGAGTTATCACTTGGGTACAAGAGAGGACAAGCATTAAATTAAAACACATGAAGTACATTTAACATCATCCGAGTCATACCTGGGATGTATGGCAACTGCAGACAAGAGAGAAAAACAGAAATTTAGAGAAATTTATTGATAATGACGTGAGTGATCCCGAGTATAAAGAGAAAACAAAAGTAAAGGGCTGAGTGTGGGAGAGCAGCAATAGGAAAGATGTACACTAATGAGAGAGATGGTTAATGAAGCCATGTATACCACTATGTCCTGTCCCGAGACGAGTATATTGGTACAGTACCTGATTACCTTAACCCCTTGTGTACGGGGCCACCTCTGAGCTGAATAAAATCGTCTGGCGTTAACCAAATAAAATGTTACAAGTGGCGTCCCTGTCTTAAAGGGGTTAAGAGCCTAAAACAGTGAGTGAATTAGATATGTGCATAAAAAAAACTTTCGTCAAGCACAACTACTTAATGATAAAGACTCTTCAGTAAAAACATCAAAATGCAAGTACAGTACAGAATTTAAATGATCATTTGCTCACCATGAAACTGTGGTGGAGTGTCCTGTGCTGACATGAGTACAACTAGAGGCTGGCCAAAATAATGAGGCATGTTTGCAAACACTGGTGAGTTATCAGAGTCGACGACGATGAAGAGAGGTTTGCGAGTGAAAGCATAGAGATCCCCAGGATAGAAGCAGTGCATATCCTTGAGCTGCATCACACGCTTGTTTGTGTGCTCACCGTCTCTTTTGCTGTTTGTTACCACGCCTCCATAATCATAGCCAGCTGCAGCAGTTGGCAGGTGTAAGTTGGGCAAGTAAACAGAAGGTTTGTATAAATAAGTCTAAAGAATTACACCCAAGAACTGATTTAATTCAGAATTATAATACATTTTAAGATGACCAATTTAAGTGGTTAGTGTGAGGGATGCAAGAGACAGCAGGTCAAGATAACATTCTCACAAGCAGCAGCAGAAAAGGAATTGATCATGACAGTGATGAAAGCTATCATAGAGAAACCAGTGACCCATACAACTACAGTCTCTTGTTGTTTTTTTTTCCCACTTTCATAAACCATTTCCTGCATGGCATAGACATGGCGAGAGTCTAGGGCAACACACAGACTCTCCAGTCTTTTTTATTCCTGCTTCTTCTGGATTCAAACAAAAAAACTGTCAATTGTAAATCAAAGGCACCAATGGGACAGAGAGAGTTACATTAAAAATCCCAAACTATTAACATATAAATTTACTTGAATCCTGAAAATATTTACCCGAAATATATTCCACTTAAAATAAATAAATCCTCGTAAAAATTGACTTTCACATGCGGCCACTATGTAGACATCATAGATCCCCCTCACCCTCCACTGAGCACCATGAGATCTGTCCACTGACTGGTCCAACAGTTCAACCATCCAGTCTACCAGTTTCTTCCTGCCACCACACCCATATTTGTGATACTCTCTACTGTATCTGTACTTAACTTCATATTTTATTCTCTTTATTGTATTGTTATATTAAATAACGTAGTGCAGAAACTATGTAAGCATAGAGGGGGTGAAAGTTTTGCTGTTGGCATTCATAAACAATATCAGTACAGTACAATTGAACTTCATTTATGTTTCCTTTTTAATATTACAAAACATACCGGTAAGTAAAATGAGATGTACACTATATGGTAGGTGAGCACATGTCCACCTGCTAATGTTGTATTTTCCCCATAAAGATACTCAAGATCATTTACTGATATATTCCTATGTATCTCACTCAGGGCAGCACAGATCTCAGCAACTCTTGTATATGTGGGGCAACCTTTGTACCTGAGGATGATCGCAGTGATGGGGCAACTTAAGTATTCAAACTGTCTAAACTGTCAAATTATGCTGTGGTCAACTAACAAGTGCTAATATGAGAGCCACTGTAAAGTATCTAGCTTGAGGGCACAAAGAGAAAAAGAAGTTTAATATAAGGCCTTGTTAATATTATGTATTTGCAACAATGTACAGTTGCCTGCATATATTCCTGTTAGAGTGGCTAGTGTGCTTTGGGAGATGTGGCAACTCCGTGGAATGGTTATCTAACAGACTTAGTCTGGCTATTATTGCGAGGTTTCTTAGGGGCCATTCCGGAAGTTTTAATATGATGTAAACAAACACAGAGCTGCCATATCTCACAAAACGTGCCAGTCACTGTACAAGGTATAAGTGCAGGCGACTGTATACTATATAATCCTGGATAACAATACTCCCATGATGCACCAGTGCAGTGAGTCGGAGAGGATGACACTTAGCGTTAACTTATCTAAATGACGTGTGAATAAATCAAGACATAAACTAACGGTCCTGAGGATGTTTGGAGCTGGTGAAGGCTCCGTCTGCAGAGATGTAGAGCAACATAGCCCCATTAGCTGGCAGCTCCTTGAAACCCGATGCTAGGAAAACCATCAGCTGAGAAAATGTGGGCTTATATAGCAGGTATTTGTGTGGATTCTCTCGCTTCAGCGTCCGACCACTGGCATCTCCATTCTCCTGGGAAAAGAAACACTCACACAATAACTGTTACAATGAATAATAATAAATGAAAACCTGTAATGTACACAGTGGATGACTGCCTGACTGAGTGCCAACCTTGGTGGTCCATGTTAAGAGTACTGGCACTCACAGGTGAAAACTGTTTACATAAATGATGGTGATACTATATTGTATCACACTTAATGGAATGACTTCTCTAACTTAAGTCTGAATTACATTTTATACTGATTACTTGTGCATTTGGATTTAAATTTCAGTAACAAAACAATCACTCAATGAAGATGTTTCAGGCTTTTTTACACTAAGTTATATAAATAACCCAACACTAAACAATAGCAGAAAATGGCAATAGTAAACACTGTAGTGTTCAGTAAACTAAATTTCACTCTTTTTACCAACTGCAGTATTTACTTTTAATTTTCTCAATACTGTATGTCCACAACAGTACGTTGGTCAACTCTGTCCAAAATTTCTTTCACTTACAAAAGTTCCAAATCTCTATATTTTGAATTCTCAACATCCTATCCCCATCCCCTCCCCTCCCCCCCACCCAAATTGTTTTAAAATGGCTGGAGAGTCGCCATAATGGAAACAACAGTTTATGCGAAGAAACCCACAATGGCAGATGAAATGTTCTTAAACACACAATTTCTGCCATTTTTTTTATGGTTCTTCCCCTTAAAACAAGAGTTTAAACGTTACACGAGTATAGTATAGCAATGTCAGGTCAATGGTCCTCCTATATACCCTCATCTTGACCTGGTTCTCCCCTCTATACACATCTCGTTGCGTCATTTACCGGTGTTTTCTTGTGGTTCGTTTCATTACCTATTGCACCAATCACTACTATAACCATTCCCACTTATATGAGACTCTTCACTTCTATCTCTATTTACACTAACATCCTCCCTCTTCCCCTTTCTCTCTTGTTTACCTCTTTTATTGCATTACTTTAGTTCATATTCTCCATTAACTTTCTCCTCCCATCTACTCTTCCAAATTCTTTTGCCAATACTTCTAATTTTTATTCGACACTTAACACACACACGGCAATCAGAGCCAGAAAACAAGTTACCTAACGGAGACGTAAATGGAAGACACAATAACACACAATGTCTAACAGTTTTCACACAAATAAGAGTAAACAGAAAACAAACGAATCATCTCTCGTTACCCCCCATTCCAACAGGTGAGATAAAATACATACAAAGGGTATTTTGTTTGGGGCCGGTGAAGCGTCATAGATCTGGGCCACGTCTTCCTGAGGTTCGCGTTCCAGCGTCTGCAGCATTCTGAACATGTCTATTGTCAGTTCGCTAAATTTCACCTGGAAGTTAATAAAATAAAAACCTGTAGCATTTCAATATTATCATGGACTGTACTGTGTTTTTCTTGGTCTTTGTCTCACTCTTCGTCTCAGAATTAAAAGTTAGGCACAACTACATCACTAACTGGTCAGGGTACAAAAAAATCCTCTGAACTCAACCTTGGTTTTTAATACAAATTTCCATGACAAACTGAAGTTATTTCAGTTCTGTTGATCATCCAAGTTCCTTTTTGTGGCTTAAGACAATCAGAAAAATTATCATGCTAACACTTAAACAAAATTATTATAAGGCTACACTGGATTCAGGATTTTTCCAAAAGGCCAGAATGATCACACCTGACAACTCACAAGCTTACTTTCCCCTTCAATTTTTTTTTTTAAGGCATCCAAACAGTCCTTTGTGATACCCTGGCATCCATAGTGTACCTTCATCAAACAAGTGCAAGATAACGATATAAGTGTCTCGCTCACCTGGTCGTTACAGTTTCCTACTATTAGTATTTCTTGCAGTGTGAGGTTCATCATGGGAGTCTTCTCGAGTGGTGGGGTGTTGTGACCACTCAGTCTGTGTGTGGACCAAACAAACAACACACGATGAAGTGACAATCCAATTTTTTTTTTTGGGCTAGCCGTCTAAATCCTCGGCTAACAATTTGCATCCTGTACCCATGTTCCTTAATCTTGCTCCTCCAGTCATTATCTTCCTCACAATCTCACAGTAAAACACCTTCCCTAAACACAGTCTTTCCTCACACCTTCCCTAAATACAGTGATCACCCATTCCCCTAGTCAGGTTCATTTTTACTATATTCATATCTTAAACCATATTTTGATTCAACTCTTCACAAATATAGTAACACATACACTTATTTATCTGTCCTTCTGTTCATTACTGTGGATGTTTCTGTAACCATCTTCCTGGGTGTGTTTACCTGTCTGTAAATAAAATATCCTTCCCTCCCTCGTTAAACACAACATCCAGATATCCTTACCTGTGGGAAAGCACTATGGTGTTTGAATCCATATCTAAGACATTGATGGTGTTGTCAGCATCAATGAAGGACTTGATCTCAGCTAAAACAAGCGACCACTCAAGTTGGTCCTCCGGCTCATATGTGGTAGTGTATTCATCTATTTGTTTACTTAATTCCTGTGGCAAGAAAATAATGCAGGAGATTAAGCAAAAATAATCATAATTTAAAAAATACATTACCACAAAATTTATGCTAATTAATCTCAGGGACAGATCAGGATATTTCTAGTGAATGTATGTGGGGAGCAGCAGCTAAGTGAACACAACACACTCCTCCTGAAGGTTACTGGTTAGTGCCCTGGGGACTAATACTGCACTAACTTCATATAGTCCTAATTACCTTCTATCTAATACCTGTATACTGTATCATATAATAGACAGTAAAGGTATTCTGCACTCAAGATACACAAGTGTAAACATATACTTACTCTGACTAGATCACGGACTAGCTTCATTCTCTTCAGTAGTAAACACACGACAATAAACCGAGCGTAGTATCGCAGCTTCTTCACCATTAAATCTGACCTGCAAAATAAAAACAAAAGATTGATGATATATCCCATTTTATGACCGAGTCTGGGTTGAGTGATTAGACAATATGACACAACATGTGAAAGATTTTGACAACTCTAATGAGACAACAGGAGTCAGTGTTCATTTTGAAATTCATTGGCCCTTCCATAGAAAAGTGCGTGTGCGTGTGCGTGTGTGTGTGTGTGTGTGTGTGCCTTTATCTGAAAAATGAAAAGAGAAAGAATTGAAGTAAATGACTGACTTACATTTGTACAGAGCGATCATCTTTGGCAGTCCTGCTGTAATATGCTCGACCTCTGATGGCGGCATAGAAAGAAAATGCTTCATTCAAGTAGTTTGTTTCACTGGTTCTCAAGCTGTGGGAGATGAAAAGGAAAATACTGTGTGAAAAATTATGTTCAGGACAGTATACCTCCCATGACTATCAATTCACTGGATGGCCGAGAACTATGAATGGACGTTATGATCTATTTTGTTTTCTTCTTCTCACAATGAACCTCCAGCCACCACTCTCATGACACACTCAGTCCGTTGCTTTACATCACACCACAACCCAATCACCAGGCCCCTACTGGTCAAGGCAGTGCTTCCAACTGACATATCATTTAATACTGTAATGTATCTGTCTCCTAAATATTACAGAATGAAACAAACTTTTCAGAATCCACAACGCTACATTATTACTGTGAAAACTTTCCACCACCAAACATACAGTACATGACCAAGAGCAGTACTGTATTGATTCAAATATTTCATTTCATAACCCAGATTGGGTCAGGTAACTTACAATCAACAACTCAATGGTTTGGTAACAAAGTCTGTCACCATTTTACAGCCAAGTTCCAAGTTTGTCATGATTACCTGATCGCATGATGCCCCAGTTACCACCAGGCAGATTTGAAGCAAGATTTATGACTGGATGCTCTCACTATTGCCTATCCCCAGATTCTAGAAATTCCAGAAACAAATTTATCTTTCCAAGTTTAACTACAGTATACAGTATTTCCTTTAAACAGTAGGTACTATACTGGAAGGAATCAATTATTAATCAGACTGAGAGTTGAGAGTTTTTGCTGGCACTCGCACACAAAGACACTATGTGGTCCATATTTGTCACTAGTTATAAAACAAACAACACAATTTCATCATCATCATTATTTTACACTCAATTTCACTTCAGCTCAACAACCAAGGGGGGAGAGAGAGAGGGATGTAAGTTTATTAATACATGCTGGTTATAAAACTGGATTTCAGGATCAGTTGCTCCTTCAGAAATTATGGGGGGGGGATGGGGGCACTCATGTATGTAAAGACAACTTATACAGAAGACAAGATAACCTCTGCCAATCCTTATTCATTCCATCAAAGGACTGACCAGTGAATACCCCTCAAAGTAAGACTAAAACTGGCACAATGTGATATTTCCCATTAGGTAGTAAATTGAGACAAACAACTCAGCTACAGGTGTGAGTTTAATGGCCCTGACCACATTTCCTGCTTTAACACTCATTTGACTTGGGAAATAACAGATCATTCAGTCTGAAATCCCTCACTAACAGTCAGGAGTCGCACAAACTTTACCCTGGTGACTCATTTGGCACAGATAGAGAAGTTCTAAACACTAAAGTTAGACTCAACAAAGTAATACTGTACTGTCTTAACTGAGTACAGTATTCCAAACAAAAACCAGACTAATAAGGGAAGAGGAGAACCAATACATAAATCAACATGACACAACAGGGGCAATGATAGTGAATGGAAAATATGCCTCAAGGAGAACCTCTGGACATTATCTGGGATGACAGTACAGAGTGAACTCACAGGGAAAGACAATGTTCAGATTCAAAGGGAAACAAGCTGTAACAATCTAATGATCCCTCACTGAATAAACCAGTTCAGAGCTATCTAAAGGTAAGTGTCTTAAACATATCTGAGGAAGTGTTTAGCTGATGAAACACAGAGAGCTAGTCAAGACGAGGATCTCTCCACATGTATTGGATCTGAGAGGGTTGATAACACAAGTTGAATCATGAAGAACAGATGTTAGCACAGCAGCATGACAACTGACTCTTCCAGATACCCCTATTTTTCGGGGGCTACGGTCATGTTGGGAACTGGAATATTACACCTTTTCACATATCCGTTGAGACATTGTTACATAACTATTTGACAAATTTCATAACCCAATGACAGAACACATATCGAATGACAATCTAAAATAACTGTTCGTTCATGCTAACGGAAGTGATTGACATAAGTTATGAAGTTGACAGACGTGAACAATAAACCGACAGTCTACATATAGTTTGAGAATGTAACAATTGGAGAATGACATACCACCAACAGTTACTTTAGATTGTCATTCGATATGTGTTCTGTCATTCGGTTATGAAATGTGTCAAATAGTTATGTAACAATGTCTCAACGGATATGTGAAAAGGTGTACTACTGTATTCTGGAATTTATGCAATCTTCTCTAGATCACACATGACAGGGGCTCTGCTAACCCTGGCTGTCAATCACTGAGTTGTTGACTGCACATGAGTTGCCCAATCCATTGTGTGAGCTACAGCTTCCACATCAGCTAGCTGTTCTTTCTTCTTCTTGTATGACATCAACAATGCCAGATATTAAACAGGAGAACCTTTTTTTTAAGATCTTCCAGCTACTGACTCAACACTAAGTTTCTATATCATTAATTCCTTATTTGAGTCATTAATATTGTGGAGGTCACCCGAGTCATCACCAGTACAGTACTGTACCATTTCTTGGACATTAATCAATACTGTACCTAATTACATGATACAGTATTCCCTATACTGAACAACATCCATTGACTGTCTGATAATCTTAATAATATTACAGTGACTTACAGAGTAATTCCCTCCCTGGCAGCCCCACAGTATTTGTATATGTTATTGTCTCGTCTATTTTCAGTAAACCTTCTGATAATAAATTCTTAAGTTCTCTATCACTCTCGTTTATTACCTCATAAATAACAGTTATATCAGTATGACTCAGGACTACCAGTGTGTGAGTCACCCTGTGTGTACACTACAGTATAATACCTTAATGATACTGTATACTGGATAGCTTTAATGTAAACTTCATTTCAAAATCCCCCTGTAGATCCAATACTGTACTGGACTGTATTTTCCACTACTGCATCAGCATCAGTACAGTAACATTACAGTCAACTGGATATTTGCATAAATTTCTCCACACTCATTTGTGGATTAATTCCTGGGTGTGTTTCAGAAGCTGCCCAACACATTATAAGTCTTGTGAGTTCCATGGAATTTATTCATCCTGAAGATACAGGTACTCCTGTATTTCAGAAATTACTGTAGCATCTCATTTCAAATCATCAAATGGCCAAATTTACACAAGGTTCTTTTAGATATACGGTACATTAAAGTATCTATTTTTTTACTTTAATGCTAAAAATTTGAAAATGTCGACTATCTCACACTACACAATATAAATTAAAACAATACAGTACCTACGGCCAGTGTTCCCTCGCTGGATGGGTTTACAGTAACTTACTAATAATGGTAGTAAAGCTGACCAATCTTGGAGGCGATCTCTCCAATCTGCCAACGCTTTAGTCCAAACTTTGAGTCAAGAATCTGTCTGTGCTGCTGCTGAAACTTCCAGAGCTTGGTGTATATGTCAAACGTGCGGCCAAAATATGCCTGCCATTGCTTGTGGCCGTACTGAGGCAGGTCCCTGGAAAAGAATGATCTGAAAGGTAGAGTACATAAACCTAATAAGAAAATCTGATAGTTGGAGAGCAGTGGAGAGCATAAGCATATATACTACTCTACAATACTGTACTGGCTAGATGTTTGCACTACTACAAGCATATCTATAAAAATAACTTAGTGTATAATTCCCTTCAATATACTGTACTGTACTGTACTATGAGCCTGCCACATTACCCAACACTCCTCCAGTACTGTATAATGTTTATTAGCCAAGCATTATCCCCACTCTGCTGTTTTGATTGTGTTTGACCTTTTCCTAAAGACAATCTTACCCATTTCTCTTCATTAAATTTCTTGACTAATTCCCTCAACATGTTTATACAGCCTTGATACAGTACTCAATATTTCAACTATGGTCTTTACAACAGTGTACCGGTATCTATAACATGTTTCTCAACCTCACTTTCACATACAGTAATTGGAAAATCCACCTGAACTGCTGGCGCTGCATTAGTCATGCTGCTGCTTATAAGATAACCAGTTGTTGGTTGTGCCGCCCATTACAACAAGCATCAACGTCTACCAATGGATTACTCACCTTTGCTACCTCCATCATGTTAAGTAAGGATGTAAAAATTTCTTTGCCCTTTAAAATTCCTTAATTTCCCAAATACACTGAAACCTCATTAATTAAAATTAAAAAGGAGAAAAGTAGCTTATAATTTAAGGGATCAAAATTTAATTGTGTCCCATAGCTCTACCCACACAACTGAAACTGGTGCAAAACTGCTGGCAAGACATGTCAGTCTACATGCATAAAGTGAGGCAGTGCAGCAAGGGACGGTGGGCAAAGTAGGAATCATGCGGTAAAGGGTGGTGGGTAGTGAGGGGTGGTGGGCAGTAAAAGTGGTGAGCAGGGTAGGTGGTGGACAGTGAAAAGTGGTAGGCAGTGGTAAATGGTGGGCAGTGTGAAGAGAAGGCAAGGCAGGAAGTGTGGCAAGTTGGCCAATAAGCAAGATCCCAAAATCCTTCAGGATGAGGGGCATTTGACTCAAAACTGGGACTTGGAATGTGAAAATTAAAAAATAATAATAATATAAAGATGTGTGCAAAAATTGAAAAATTGAAGTGAGACAATTTGGGACACAGTGAGGTAAGATGGACAGGTTCAAACAGCATTAGAGAACGAGGAGGAGGAGGAGAATATTGCTACATATACTCAGGTGGAGAGAAGTATGGGGAGGTGGAGCACAAGTTGGATAGTTGTGTAAAAGGCTACAGGGTCAGATACAGTACTAAATCCATAGACTTTGCAATAACTCAGGTTCCTGCACCACAAAATGATTACAATGAGGAGGTTTATCAAGTTTTATAAAGATTTAAATACCTCAATAGCTAAAGAAACTGTGAAGTACAATTTATATTTAACCACAATTAGTGATTTTAATAGAAATGTTGAGAAGGAGAGAAGTGACAGAAGCAGGACCTCACAGGTGGGGGTGTATAGCAGGTTAAGGTTAGGTTAGGTTAAGGTTAGCTTAGGTTAAGGTTAGCTTAGGTTAAGGTTAGGTTACAAATTAACATAACCCAAGGAATGTGAACAGTGTAAGAAGACTTCCAATATGAGAAAGGTAAATGATAACAGAGGAATAACCGCAGGAAAATTACAGAAGATAAAAGATATGAACCAGAAAGGACACACACGGTGAAGGCCTATAAAAAGTAAAGGTAACAAAACCCTATTAGAGATATATGTAAACGACAGGTGGACACAGTAAACAGAGTCAACATGAAACAACTTGTGAGGTTGTTCAACTTCTATAACATGAGCAGGATAGGATTACTGTACCTAACTGGCTGAAACTGTAACACCAGACACTACAGAGAAGACCTTCCCAGTGAGCTAGATGATACATTAGTCCGTCCTGTACTTAACAGCCATAACTCTCAGAGATCTGGTTTGAAAAGTTTAACTGAAGGGGATTTACAGGTTGAGTGATGTGTGTATGCCTGATGATGATGATATGATAATTACAATGATGATTATCCTGACAATGATGATGAAGTAATAATGACAACAATGATGATATTCTAACAATGATGACAAAAATGATGATGATGATAATATCCTGAAAATACTGACAATTATGATATGACAATGATAATGATATTTTGACAATGATGATGATATGATGAAGATGTTGATGATGATTTACTGTATATGCTTTTAAGAAATTTGAAGAAGTACCAGTAGTGTATACAGTATATAATAAAGTCAAACATAAAAATATACAGTACTTTAATATATTCAGAAAAAAACTGACATTAATGAAGAAGATATTAGTAATCTACCAACTTTTTACTGGAATCAGGAAGCTTCAGTGACAGTAGTGAACAAGACAGTAGTTCTGGGTGACACAAGAAGGTAGACTAAAGCAGATTGCAATTTCCAACATAATTATACTGTCCAATACTAAATATATTCAGGGTTTTTAATCAGAGAAGTTGTAAGTAAGAATTGATAAGAGTTTATTTTGTTGACAGAGTATATAGTCATTAGTTAAAGCTTTACCATGATGAAGGCTGGTACGCTCGCCACAGATTATCCGGTTTCACTGTCAGTTCTGTACAGTGGTGTTACGGTGTATAAATGAATATATAAAAGAACAACTTAAGTAATATATCAATCGATGCATGAATAAGTGATTTATATTACCTTAACAAAGACCAGGGTGAAAATTCATATCCAAGAAAAGGAGACGGAGAGCCATTTCCCCTCCTCAAAGCCTACAGAGTCAGCAGGTACAAAGTGTAGACCAGCTTCAGCAGTGAGGTACTGTAGTTCATTAGATCCTGGCAGTGACCTAACACAAGTGTGGGTAGTCTGAACACATTTCATCTTTCTCCTAGAGTGGGTAAAGTGAGCTCAGGTCACAGTGACTACCTCTGTGCTGATGTAACTATACCATGAGATCTCAGCAAGTGTGTGTGTATGTGTGTAAGAGTATGTGCACTATTGAAGAGGATCATGCCAATAAACATTCTTCAGATCAATGGACACAGACCACACTCAACCTCACACACATAATACTATTCCTCCAAAACTTTTGATGAAGAATGAATTCATCTAACCATTTATATCCAGAATCACTTTGTGACCCCATGAATAAGTCTACTCCTCTCTAACTAAGAAAAACCTAAACATTCAGATTTCACAAAGATCCAGTACACACTGTATAAAGTCAGGGTTCCCATACACTATTCCACTTAAAACCTTAAGACCATAAACACAACTACAATATAACACACAGTATCTCAAAAAAGTATCTGCCAGGAGGGGTTCGACGATTTCCTAAATGCTACAGGCAACTCGTGATGTCCAGGGAGGGTTAGTAAGCATGGCTCTGTGGAATACTGATCCCACTACATTTGGAAACTGAACATTATTTATATCATGCCGAAACAAATACACATTGCATTACTTATGTCAAACTATATACCAAAGTAAATGATTTCCCAATATTTATCATCTGTGGTCTCATAATGTTTCACACAGTGTGTGGACAGATACTATACAGTGCATAAAACACATTATGTTATGAACAAGGTACTACTGGTCACATGTGCACAAATTATCAGTAATCATAAATGGCAGTCAATACTGTATACAAAATTACACTGTCCACTACAATCTATACTCACCATTCAAGGAGCTGGTGCATAATGTACATGTAAAGAATTACTGTACTGGAATTTTGAACAATTTGTGAGTGTCAGGTGAGGAGGGAGGAAGGAGAAGGAAGGGCGTGGCACTGAGATGTTTTAAGAGGTAACATCAGAGGAGGTAGTGCAGAAGATTCATGCTTCTTATTCACAATGCTTTAAATTAACTAAAACAATGCCTGCACACAACAGCACAACACTCATCACTCTTAGCAGACACCATCACAAGGCTTAGTGTACTCTAAATGGTCCCCATCCAATTGAGAGTGCTGTACCTCACAATTGTCACTGTCATACATCCCTTTTAAAGAATCGTCTTATGTGACACATCTCTCAGTTAGGCAAGTAATGCTGCAGAGCCACTGTGATCATGCTCTCTCAGACTGCAGCACAGATGACTGTCTTATTGTCTTCAGGGAATTCTTTGGAAGTGACCAATAAGTGAACTCGGGTCATAGTCCAGCTTCCGTACCTAACAATAATCTCTATAGAACAAAACTTATTTCTTCCCGAAAAGAATGACCCAAATTGGATGGAGGAATCTAACGTTTCGCATTTTAGTTTCCCCAAATTTTTCCTATGAATAATGATGCTCTATGCCACCTGAGGAAAACATCACTTTGCAATTCAACTGTTTACGGGAACAGGAATGTTTCACGGACATTAATAAAACCTACAATTAATACCCACTAAGAAACAGCAAATTTATAAGTTTTTTGTACAGATGATAGATTTGTAATGTTATAATAGCAGTCCCAAAAAGGAAAAAAAATTATTTTTCACAATACTGTACCGGTATTGTATTAGTTTGGTAATGTGAGTGGTTCCCAGCATCCTATTCATACGACAGAAGTACTGTACAGGTACATTATATTAGATTAGGTTAAGCTAGGCAGGTTAGGTTAAGTTAAGTCATTAGTTAGAGGCACAACAAAAACTAAAGAAACCCCAAAATACAAAATATGCAATTCCTCCATTAAATTTGAGTTATTCTTGAGGCTAAAAATATGTTATCTTCAATAATCTTGTATTTAAAAAGCATAAAATCACAAGCATTTTTGTTGACATTGGGCAAGACTTAGAATGGTCCCAAGTACGAGATACTCAACTGTCACACCAAATTATTTATTGTGAATAAAATGAACCAAATTAATCTATTCTAACCTGACCTAAATCATATAATAATCTTTAGGTGATGCTCAAGGTTAGGAAAGTTAGGTTATGTTCGATTGATTCTCGTTCTATGAATTATGAATTACGTGGTACCCTGTATGGCAGTACACAATACAGTACTTCAGAAAGTTTCCAGTCTCTCTGAATGTTAACAAAAGTGCTCGTGATTTTAACATATTAAATACAAGATTACATTTTCTCCTTTAGAGATTTTCTTTAAGTAACCAGTTAACCTCGCAGTCACTCACAAACTGTTACTCAAACTCAGCAATTTTGTCTTTATTTTCCCAGCAACATTAAATTCAACACATTAAAAAATTAAGAGTTTTGGCAATACTGCACTTCACTTTATGGCCATAAGATTTTCAGTTATTTTTCAGCTGATTTTAATATTATGAACACTGTCCTAAACCAACTGACCTAACATACAATATCTAAAAGGAGCTAACTGAGGTGGTCTTTGCCTACCTCAACCCACTGCACATGTATTCTTTCTTTTAGGTAAAATACTAAAACACCAAACAAACCTTCAAAACTTTACCTCACCTATAAACCACTTAACTTATTCTTGTTTTTGGTGTTTAATGTGGTGGTGTAGTTTTCAGTGTTCAGATGAGAAGGGGGGGAGGGGGGGGGGTCAGTGAACTCTAAAGCGACTTTGAACCTTTTTGTAGATTAAGTTAGGTTAGGTAAAGATTTCAATGGTTTGTTTGGTGTTCGTTTTAGTATTTTACTCTATATTTCCCCTCTACTTCATAGCCCTCTTACACAGCCTTAGACAACTGGTGCACTGAGTCCATCAAGTCAGAGAAAACAAACCATTTTCAAGGCTGTGCAAACCCTCAACCCATTTAACAAATATTGGATAACATTTTCACGATCATCAAATGTAACAATTAAGGTTTACAGTGAGGTATTATTTTAGTTTCGGTCATCCAGGGAATCTTAGGAATTAGGTTAAGTTAGGTATCCAAACTATGTTTTTCCCGATGGTTTTTGATGGGGTTTTAACAATTTGGACCTTCATATTAGTCGTAAATCACAGTTTGGATATCTACTAAATACAGGGATGACCAAAACTAAAATTTTACCTAAAGGGAAACATAAAATCTTACCACTAGATATGAGACAGAATATAATATGAATAAAACCAGACCTGTCATAATAATAATTGGGACACTCAGCCCAGCAGTAGGGTGAACTAACACACACACACACACACTACATTATCACTAAACCATTATTCCTCCTGGTCACTCACCCTCAGTATGGTTGAGGTACACCATACACCATACCTCCCCCCTCATACAATATTCATACCCTATAAGAGTCGTCTGCTTTCCCGCGCTGTCACACCATGTAAACAGTGCAGACGAAACCCCACCACCACCTCACCACACCCACTGTCCTTAACTTACCGAAGGCCATTGAAGAGCTGTTTTGACTTCTCTAATAAATGACAAAACTCGTTGACAATTTTCCGTTCATGCTCGTCCATTTCTGCCATGGTAATGCAGGTTAGCACTCGCCCGTGGCACTCACATGAACACTACACCAGCAACTACTAGTTACTCGGCAGGTTGGATACACCACACACACCCTCTCTCTCTGGTTTTACGTTGGCTTCACCCGAATAGTGATAAGTTTGTTTATATCATGTTTAAATTCATGTTTAGGTAGCATTAGGTAGGATCAGTTAAATTACGTTACATAGATGGTGAATCAGAGGTTATAACTATCCTGGTGAGGAACTAGTGAAGTGGGAGCTAGATGGCGCCAACTCCCCTCACAACTTGTCCGCCGGTTCTTTAATACCACCTAAGGAGCCCGTCTCATATATTCTACAATCATTGTTTATGCATTTTTTTTTAATACATAGGGAAGATGATAATAACTCTTACACAAAATGCATTTCCTCGTGAGAATGGCGAGAATAAAGTGAACCGGGATCAAGTTAAGGAGGTTTTCTTTATTGATCCACATGTTTGTGTGTAGTAAATGATCAGTAGATGACACCTTTCGTATTATACCCATTTATCATTATTATTATTAGCAATAGTAGTATCCCAATCAGGCGGAAACGATGTTTTGTGTAAAGGTGTCAGGTTTGATAGCGTTAGGTGGTTATCAGGTGTAATAAACCGAGGGGTTTTATTTTCACGTGGTCCATATACAGGACACGGAAAAGAACTCACTACATACATACACGGTTGGTCATTTATTTATGCTATATTCAGAACAAACTATACCATTCTCGTTATAATCGAAATATATTGGAAAGTCGGGGGGGGCACATTATTATTATTATTAATGGAGCTACCAGTGTTCTAGGAAAGGTTTATTGATAAATAAATGCTAGCGACTGTTGTAGTCCATGTCATATTGAGTCACCCATTTAATTCGAAAAGATGCGGTTTATTTCCATTTTCTTAACTTACTTTTACTTACTTTTATTATCTTCACCACTGATCGGCTCGTTAGCCGCTTGGTCGATCGGTCATGTCTGTAACGCACTGTTGGCAAGTACTTTCTGGTAGATTGTTCCAAGAGTTCACAACTCTCACTCCGAAAAAGTTTGCCCTCAGTTTTCTGGACCTGCGGCTTCTTCAATCTTAAGCTGTGACCCCTTGTGGGGCGAGCGTCCGCCAGCTCCAGGTAAGGACACTCGACTGAGTAGTGCCCCCCCCGAGATGCTTATATTCCTCAATTAGGTTGCCCCCTTGCCCGTCTGTAGTATAAGCCAGGCAAGTTCAGGCGCTCCAATCTCTCAAGGTAGTTGAGGTGCCGAAGTGCAGGCACCAGTCTGGTGGCCCTCCTTTGAACATTTTCAACCAACTGACAGTCCCTACTTATCTCGGGGACCAGTACTCCAGATGGGGAATCACTTCACTTTTGAAGATCATTACGAGGGACGGACCGTTTAGATATCTAAACGACCTTCTTATAAGACCTAATAATTTATTTGCCCGATTTACCTTCTCACAATGATCCGAGAACTTCAGCTCATTGTCAACATAACACACCAACAGGTAGGCCCTTCTCACATTGAATTGAATTGAAACGAAAGTTTATTTAGCCAGAAAAACACAGACAGAGTTGATAATGATAACAATATTAACATGGCTGAGCCAGTTGAGAACCTGAACTTTCTTTTAGGAACCTCCTATATGCTATACATTTATCTCAAGGAAGTATTATGTAACATTTAGTATCACCTGGAATAGTATAATAGCATGGTAGTAATAAGAATATCTCAATGTTACCGCAGTTATAACTATCGATTTATTTTATTTATTTAAATTTTTTTTTTATCTATATATGTACAGTATACATAAATTAGTTGAATCGAAAAATGTAAGTATAATGGGGGAGCAATACAACATGGGCTGTACAGTAATAAGGTTGAACAAGAGGACAGTGCTATCAGGATTATGTCTAGTTGGCAATTATGTTTATTGCAATGGTAATTACAGTCTAGAATAGTGGTTTCTTCATCCCGTTGGGACATATACCCCTCCTTACCGTTGGTACGCCCTAGGTGCATCCTCTTACACTTCGTGACATTGAATCTCAGCAGCCATTCCTTCGACCATTCTTGGAGCTCAAGAGATCCTTCTGCAGCTCTTCACAGTCCTCTTGGTTCTCGATTTCCTGAAATAACTTGGCGTCATCGGCAAACATCTGTAAGGAGGATTGTACGTCAGGCATGTCATTTATGAAACAAACAGCGAGCCCTGTGGTACCCCACTTGTGACGGGTACAGATGATTCCATGCCATTAATCTCCACACACTGCTTGCGGTCATGGTCATGTCGAATGTCTTCCATCCACCCCAAGACATTTCCCGGGATCCCATATCCTTTCAGCCTTTTGTGGGGTACACTGCCAAAAACTAGGTGTATATTGTCGATTTTATCACCCGTTCCAGAATGTGGGTGCAAATATCCAATACGTTGAGCAATTGCGTTAAGCAGGAGCGCCCCGGCATAAAACAGTGTTAAGAAATCCTTTCCTAGTTGTTTCATGGTAGATGTTCCATCATGGCATCCCTTATAAGCCCTCAAATACTTCCATACTATGCTGGTCAGGCTCACGTGTCTATAGTTGTTCGTGGGGTGACTATCTCCCTTCTTGAAGATAGGACTCGCACAAGCCATTTTCCAGTCACTGGGGACCTTTTGTTCATCAAGGCATTTACAGAACAGGATCCTCAGGGACTCGCCAAGCTCGTTGAACAACTCGCTTGGTGCTCTGGGATGTACTTGCATGTGTTGTCTATCAGTACCAACGGCAAAAGGTGCCATAAATAATGCTAGGTGTTGGAGAACATTAATAAACGGTGTCAATTTACAAGTACAGATAACTACTATTGTAACCTTTAAATAGACAGTATACAGGTCTTAATGTATTAATGTGGATGCATGTTACAACCTGTGTATTGTAATGGATGAGTGGCACAGACTGTCATGTGTATGTCCATAGGAGACCTATGGGTATAGGTGCGCATATATATATATATATAGTGTGTAAATATGTATAAAAATATAAAAAGCACAAAACATTTTATTATTTTATTTGGCAAACGGAAAAATAACCGCTAAAAACAACTTAAAATTATGGCAATACAGCAAGTCTTATTTTTTTACAAAACAGGGTACAGTACTTGAATGTTTTGACGTTAATACAAATAATACATGATATGGATTTCATTCCTTACAGTGTTAAAAAATATATATAGCAGTTTTAGGGAAGAAAATAGGTAGTGTTCTGTTCTGGTCAGAGGTAACAGATAATGTGTGGGCCTAGCTAGTCTATCCTTCCTTCCTTCACTTACAAACACCATTATTAACTATTTTTTCTCTCCCTTTCACTTAAAAAACATAATTATTGCCTTTTTTTTCTTCCTTCACTTAAAAATACCATAATTATCTTTCACTGGTAAACACAATTCCCATCCATCTCTATCGATCTCTTCCTCTCTCCATCTCATGTTTGTCTTTTTAGTTTTTACTTTCTTCTCTCATGTCTGTCACAGCAGCAAAACCCTCTCTACCTCAATTTCTTTAACTACACAGATGGTGACTGTTACACAGACCAAACAAACTAAGTACCTCAGTCTTGTTTTCTTTTCTATAATTCTGTATAAATTTTATTCTTATGTTCAGTCTTTGGGTGTGTGTGTGTGTGTGTGTGTGTGTGTGTCATTTAAACAATTTTCTCGAGGTCAATGGATCTGACAACATGGCCAGCGAAGAGGGTGATGGCACTGGCCTTATCAGTGATGGTAAACACAAAGGGTCGGTTAACCACAAAGTCCTGGATAGGTCCAGGTCCCCCAAAACGCGTGTTGATGAATACTGCAAAGAAACAAAAATAATCTTATTAACACATCTAATGAATATTTTACAAATATTTCAGGACGCTTTTTAATAAGGGACCAGCTAAACATCAGACATGCCTGTTTATTTTACCTGAAGTTCAGACCCAAGCTTAAACACCCCAGTTTACGTCACCTTAAGATTAGAGGCCCCAAACTATTTCTTATGAAAACAAACCACACTAACCTCCTCTCTGGGCTAGGTTAGGTGTGCTAGGGTGGTTTATCTTCAGGTGAAGTAAGCTGGGATGTCTATTCTTCAAGTGAAACAAATTGTGGTTGTCTAATTTTCATATAATCCTTGAATGTAATAAACTTGTATCTGCACAACAAATAAATTCCATACAAAAGAAGGAACTACAACTGCACACAAAATGATAATACAGCACTGGTAAGGGATATGTAAAACTACTTTAAAGTACTGCCTGTAAAATGACCAATTAGAGCAGTGGTTCTTAACCTTTTTTTGAGGCACAGACCCCTTTGGGAATCTGGTGAAAGCTATGGACCCCCTCCCTAGAAAAATGCACATAAACAACTTTGCATGCAATGAATATACTTTATTTTATTGAAAATTCATTGCCTCATACAGTGTATGACCTACACAAATTATGAATAAAGTAAACAATCTTAATTATGTTTCACACTTTTTATGCAAAAATTAATGGCCACTCCATACAAAAATGAAATGCAATCATCGTGTGCAAATTAAACAAAACAAAACTTTAATTCTGCTCAAAAGTTCATTTCAATGAGAAGGTTGTTGTTTGGCTTGAATATAAATGTTAAATTTTTATCTGACCTTCATGGACCGCGATGCCCATCCATGGACCCCAGGTTAAGAACCCCTGAATTAGAGGATACCTGCCACCTGCCCAGATACAGTACAGTAATACTTCTGACATATTTCTATTTTTTGCCCTTCTCTGAACAAAAGTTCTGCACAAAAAATTTCACTTTATAAATTATCTTTTTCTTCTCAGATCTTGTTAACTTATTTATCTTTCCAAATGATAAACTTCAACAACATGTACATCACCAAGTTGTTGTTGTTACAGACCTGTAGCAGCGGCAGCGACGGTGCCTTCCTCAGTGACCTCCACAGTGGCCTGGTGTATGGCTTTGTCGATGAACAGGTTTGCCAACCTTGTGAAATCCGTCAGGTCAGCTCTGGTAGGATCAAACACATCACTGATGCCCATCCTAGATATTGTCTGCAGAAGTAGAATATTTTGTAATACAACATTACTGCCTCAATCTCTAAAAACCACAAAAATATAGATAAAATAAGTCTATTAGTAGCTACAGCAGGTGTCATACTGTCATGTTAAATAATCTTTTAAATAATAACTAGATAAAATGATTGCACAAAACCATATATTTTATTATACGATATTTGTAAAATGCCTGACCACATTATGTCATGTGCCACTAACATTTTTGGGAAAGTCTAAACTTAGTTTGAAATTAGAGCGATCCTGAACTGGTCATAGGGTGTTGGCTCTGGGAGTATGAGACACCAGTGGTAATCCCCCATGCAGTTAGGATATAACATCTTTGTTTTTAAACTGGCATTTTATAAAAGGATTAACATGCCACTTGTTGTAGGGTTAAGTCCTGTAAGCTACAAATTACAATAAGAAAATTGGCAGCCAGACAAGTGATTTCAGAAGGGATTTAACACTTGACAATGACCGACATGTTTGAAGAAGAATAGTATGACAACCCATCAGCAATATAACTTCTCATATGGTGATGGGTTTTCAGATGGATAGATTATACAGTATGTCAAACCAAGTTAGATACATAGAAAAAAGGGACCCTCCACTAATACTGTATGATCAGCAGATGGGGATCTTATCAGTTTTTTTTTTATTGGGCACTCCCCTACATCATTGTGTAAGGTGAAGCGCAGAAGCGTTTACAGCGCCCAACAGGGAAGCATGCTAAGTTCATGCTTGCCTTTGTCTCATGAGATAAGGGCTTAGAAGCCTGAAGAGTCAGTGGTTTATGTCCTCAAGTTATTGGAAGCTCCAACAACTTGTCCCTGAATATGAATTCGCAACTTTTGACTTACACCAGGTACCTACTTTACTGCTAGGTGAACAGGGACTAATGGGGGTTAGGAAGTAAGTCCAAACAACTTCCACCGGCCCGGGAATCGAACCCGGTACATCTCGCTTGTGAGGCAAGAACGGTACCGCTTCTACCACCGATCCCCCCTCATCAGGTTTGTAGGATTCTCTATGGAACTAATAAATACCTAACAATTCTGTATGACCATAATAAAGTGTAAATACTCAAAAATTTCAGTTTATTTCTACTCATTCCAGTCACTTATGAAAATAATATTCGGACACTTCAGCTTATTCTAAAGCCATACAACTACCTCTACACACTTCACCTCATTTCAAATATTAACTATAATCTCCAAATTAAATCCCCAACTTCAGCAAATTCAAGACTAGTATATTCTTCAAGGTAATACTCACACTTATGAGTTCTGTCTCAAGCTTGGAATTCAATTTGAACTTTGGTAAGCCAACAATGTTGACCGTCCTGAAAATCATGGATGAGTACACCTCACTGAAGGACTGGGAGTTGAGGTTGTCGAGGATGGAGGCAGTACTGAAGGTCTTGGGCAAGAATACGAACATAGAGAAGCTGGAGTTACGGTAAGGGAGCTCCAAGACGCGCGCGTCCAAGACAGTCGATTCTCCTAAGGGTAGTGGTAAACATTTTAGCGAATATGTTGTGTTATGTAGGGGGGGGAGGGGGGGGGAAGGAGGAGTTTACACAATCAAGTAAAAACATGAGATTGTGTATGAATGACCTATATTGGGTGGTTGATTGACTGCACAGGAAGAATTAGACCAATTGCTGGTTATTAAGTTTGTGGTGTTAATATGGCAAAATTTCTTGGTCGTTGACTTCTAATTTTTTTTCAGATTTAAAATTCAATCGTTATAAAAGAAAAACGGCAAAAAATTGATTTACACAGCATCAGAACTCACTTGGTAAGTAATCAAACTATGAATGTATTTAATATTAGGGACACTAAGTGAGCAGAGCCAAGTTAATAGGTTTTCATTGATAATGAAATTCCTATATCTTGCGGGACAAAGATCTATCGATAAAGACCACTTATTGTATACGAAGAGAAAATATATTCTTCAAAAAGGTTAATGTTATAATGAACAGCATTAATGCTCCAACAACAAAGGTATTCCAAGTACATATTCTGCGTTAGCTCATACAATGGAGAAGATGGGAATGGTTATCATACTCAAAAGATAAAGTTACTGTACTCTGGTTAAGAAGTTATTGTACTCAAACTATAAAGCTACTGTCCTCAGGTAAACAAGGTACAGTATCATACTTTGGGAATAAAGGTACATAAAGGACATTGTTTCCATACACAAGGAAAAAGTCAATGTACAGTACTCAGATGAAGGCAGCTACTGGAGTCGCTGAACAAATTATTATACTTGTGGGAGGAGACCTTATTTTACTCGTGGGACAAATGATTATAAACATTGAAAAAAAAGTTATTTGCCAAGAACATCAATAAGTACGACATGAAGGAAGGAAGGAAGGAAGCCTTAACACCTGTACACTATTAACTAGCTCCTAATGGCATGATGGTAGGGACCATAATGCCCAAGAGTGATAATTTTATTTATTTTTTTTTTACCATAGTTGAAAGTTTCGTTGAGAGCCACCATCATCTGTACCCTCCCGTCTGAAACCCCAGGCGGCACAAGGAAGTCCTGTTCGCGGGTCAGCTCGGGTCTGAAGGCCTTCGCCCAGAGTCCCCTGAAGAAGACGGCATTGACCAGGGCAAAACGCGTGTCTCTGGAGAGCTGATCTATCAACTCGGGGATCCTGCCTTCAGTTGTCCTGTTCACTTCCCCATTGATGAGGCTTCGTGCAGCCTGGGGGTTGGTGAAGTCAATCTGGCGGAGGTCAGTGATGATGTTTTTCAGGCAAGCGTCCAATTGCAGCTGGTCGGAGAAGTAGGCCACGTTGGAACTCTTGAACCGTGCACCATTGACTCCTGTGGGGTCAGACTCCAGCCTGCCGGAAGGGGAGGGTGTAAGGGGGAAGTTAGGGATTCTTGAGATCTTATAAAAAATTTAGTTATCGAACCCATCTTGTCCAGGACCTCCTCTCTAATATCACCATAGCTACTATCATTACTACTGCTACAGTATTAGTAGTACAGCTATTATCACTATCATTATAATATGTCGGTCAACTACAGGTACTACTATCACAGCTATCACCATTACTGCTACTACCACTATTGACAACTATTAAAACCCTACAGAAACTCACAGTAGCTTAAGGGTCCCCCAGCCAAAGTAAGTGCCAGTCTTGGTATCTGTGCCCATGACGCGATCAAACTGTGCCTTGGTGTTTCCTTTAGAGCCGAAATATGCCAGGGTGAGGGCACTCCACACGCTGTAAGGGGACAAGAACAAACTCGATCCCGGATTGGCCAAGGTCAACTGCCTGAAGAAGTCGAGGCCGAAGTTTTCAACATTGCGGGCGAAGTTTGTAGGCGCTACTTGTAATTCCTCGCCGGGGAAGCAGTGATTGACTTGGCCCATACAGACTGGGGTGTTGATGAGCACTGCCACCGTCGCCATCACCAACACTGCCTGCCTTCTTGGTCCCTCCATTCTGTAGAGAAATACATGGCACAAGTTAGTTCCTCGTTCATATTTGTAATCCCTTGGGTATGACTAACACCCTTGATTACAATGACTTAAACCCCTAAGTAAAACGATCAACACCCTTCAGTACGATAATATAAACCGAGAACGATAACTTTAACTCATTGAGCACGAGGACTTAACATTATTGCTGATGGGGATAAAACGAGAAACCTAAACACAAGCTACCACACAGTTGCACTACACACATCTCTGTATACATAACTTGCACAACTTATACTAACTCAAAGACTATACACCTATCATACACAAAGGAAATACAAGTACCTAGTAATAAAGAACATGGTAAAATAAGTAAGAAGTAGTATTAGTACATTATATTACAATACAGTACACAAAAGTCTCCGTCCGTACTTGAATATATTTTAGCTTCTTCATAAACGATAATAGTATACCCCAGTACCCTGTAGTACATTGTAGTACAGTACATAAACACAACCACACAGGTGAAGTTACCCACAATTACCTGTCGCCTCTCCTTGTGCACCACGAACCCCAAGATTCAGACCCGTGAACCCGAAGACACGGATTCATTATTGTCCTTAAAAGATTCGGATTTACCTGTCTGAATCTTGGGGTTCGTGGTTCACAAGGAGAGGCGACAGGACTTTTGTGGGCGACTGTAAACAAAATACAACACCTCCATATACATTGTTTACAGGAGTGTACACAACACCAACAGTACACAGTGAAACCAATACATGTATCTGTGTGTGTTCATGTATGTCTTCCACCTGTATGTATTTTCCATGTACTGTACGTGTTTAAATATACATTAAGGTAAATGAGTACAGGATATAAAAATACACAGAAACACACACACACACATGTACGTTTCGACACCAAAGAGATACGACATCCTGTTTATAACGAAGGTAGCTATCACGCTCCTCCTCTATTACCACCACAGTGAAATAAGCTGGGGTGTCTAATCTTCTGGCGATCTAAACATCAATAAACGCCTTCCAACTCATCGAGAGAGAGAGAGAGAGAGAGAGAGAGAGACAAAATACTCGAGAGTTTTACATCATGATACAAGATAAAAACAATTAATTTTGAAGCTCACTTATTCGCTGGTCATTCAGCCTTCATGCATGACTGGGAGAGTCGGCAGTCACGTGTGCCCCCCCCCCTCCCTCCCCGATTGTGTGGCCCTCTACAGCAGGATACACAATACAGTTGGTATACTACTGGTACCCCTGCTGTCACACCCACAAGACAACAGGTATGACGTCAACTTCACCTTGAGACGATCTACCCTAACTGCTTCCAAGGTCATTATAAATACACAGTTGAGCCACTAACTATATCCCCCAAGGGCCTAGTGAGAGAGCTTCCCTTGTTGTGGTGAGTCAAGAAAGGTCACTAGCTCGTCTACCTACTGTAATATACTGCACAACAGGTCAATCAAAGCAGACTATTGGCGACACCCCCACCCCACACACACCTGCAAAACACAAATATATGTCCCCGCCTATGACCTTTCCACACTAACACCTGTACAACACACACACACATTTCTAAACAATAATTCAACATGGTGGAAAATCGTGCGGCCACCAAGAAGAATTACACGAACAGAAAACTTAAAATAATAATAATAAAAGGGATGACGACTAAAAAAAAATATAAGTTGTACAAGTTTTCACTCCGAGCCCTGAAAAACACACACAGCTGCAGATCTTGGCGCACACAAAGGTTAACTTGATCTTTTTGTGTGTACGTTTTCCCGCGGTTTACCTGACACAGCACCGGCAGGAGTGAGCCGTGTTCGTCAAGCCTATCGTAACCAGCTTATTTCACCTCATTATTAACCACTTCATGCTAACCTATCTTAACACGACCTAATCTATCTTAACTTAACCTAACCTAACCTCACCCCCAGGTAAGGTTAATATGTTTAATCACCAGGTGTAATAAACTGAGATGTCTCCTCTTCAAGCGATTCAATTTTTTCTCCAACCTAAAAGAGAAACTCCCTCACCTACTTACGTCAATAGCATATATAATGTAAACGCTTAATATTTTGGTTTAGTTAGTAATGTGACGTGCAAATGTGAGAGGAACACACGGACGGGTATAAACACACACGAGATACAGACAACAACAGTCTGTCAGTCAATAATTTCAATAGTTCAGCTGGTCTATGAAGAGATCGGATCACCTCTAACGCGATTAGATTCAGTATCGTACGGGGGAGTCACGCTGCCAGACGTACGACCACAGTGTGACGCATCAGCTGACAGCTACGACAAAGACGATTTCACCAACACCTGACATATTGGAGCCTTGAAAGTGTGTGCGTTTATGTGTGTGAAAGTTACATATTAACAAATACACACGCACACCTCAGGCTTCAGCGCGAGTGTAAACTTGGGGATTCCCGTGTGGTCAACCTTCAGTGTGTGTATAGAAACACACACAGAGAGAGAGAGAGAGAGAGAGAGAGATAAATAAATAATAAACAGACATGGATAGAGACAAATACAGACAGACAGACAAGACTTGTATAACAAATTGGCAAAATAAAGAAGTGCTCAAAATAATCCCCGATGACACACAGTCAGCTTTCACTGCACCAGTAAAGGTCTCGTCATTGAGATACTAACACTGTTGACCGCTGTATATACTAGGTAAGAAAATAATAAGTCACATAAGAAAATAAGGAGTCTGCAATAGGCCGGTTGGCAATGGCCTGTGCATGGCAGCTCCTGTCGAGAGTTACTACCACTATCATCCATGAATCTATCCAGCCTCCTTTTGAAACTTTCCAGCGTTCCCGCACTTACTACAAAGTTGCTAAGCTTGTTCCACTCGTCCACCACCCTATTTGTGAACCAGTTCCTATCTCCCTCCTAAACCTAAACTTATCCAACTTAAATCCGTTGCTCCGAGTCCTATCCTGCTCGGATATTATAAGAACTTTACCTCAGTCTTGACTTGAAGTTCTGAAAAAGCGATATGGGTTCACCTGAAGAATCGCCACCCTGTGTTTGAACTATTCCAGCAACCCGCACTAGTTATCGAGGCTTTCATCCTACACTACAGCACACTAACTGATGATGTCAAGAGGAAGCTAGAAGATTTTAAAACGTCTCCATAGAATAAAAAAATGTATAAGCCGAGATCATGAGCGCCATCTGCCAAAACCACCTTACGCAGCATACAACCCCCCATACCTAACCTTCAACCATCCTCCAGTGCGATATATGGTAACCACCCTCTCCTCACCACCTCTTGCGCAACACTAACTATTATTTCCCCTCGTACAAAAACAAAATAAATGAAGCTCAGCCCACTTGTGTTCTCTCGTCAAAGCGGATTGGTTGATTGTTCCTAAGCAACTACTTACATTTTTGAGCGAAATTTTAATATTTTTAAAATGTTTTTTTTTAGGTGGAAATAAACAAAATTATTAAACATTCTGATATACTATAATTCAAGGCTTCCGTTTCACTCTTGGCTTTAATAAAATAAATGTTTAAATTATCAAATCGGAAAACAATTCAAAACTGCTAACACAATCACACCACAATCGGTAACTCATCCTCGGTTAAAAAATGGCACATGTCGCTTCTCAAAAGATCAACACATTAGGGTCATCTCTCCTAAACTGGTACAAAAATCAGCCTTACAATAATGTCTTTGTACACTGAGGTAGAACACTAACCACTAAAATCTGTGTCTTGCGTGTCTCTATTTCCGTGTTGAGTGACCAGGTAAGGTTAGGTTTAATTTGTGTACGATTATGTTGGTATTCTGGACCATCTGAAGATTACAAACCCCAGGTAGTTAGGGGGTTTAATCGTTAGGTGAAATAAGCTGGAGGCTAATCTAAAAGGTTTGTCAAAGTGTGTGAACAGTAGTTACGCTGGTTAATTCCCAGTTAACTAGGTTGGTACACATTACATATTCAACACCACTAAAACTAACTTCAATATGATAATTTAACCTAAAAAATAAAAAAGACACGATTTTCTTTTTATTGTCTACATGATTTTGTATCTCAACCTTATAAAAGAAAACATTTTTATCGCTAATCACAAATTAATTTAATACAAATTTTTTTATTAATTGATGGAAATATTTAGTTACACTTGACAAACAAAGGGACGCTCGCTATAAACCTGAAACTGATTCTGTTGTACGAGAAGACTAAATTGGGGTCACAGAAAGGTCTTGTTACCTCTCTACACTGGCAGTATTTCCTCCCCAAACCTACGTCCACAACACTACCGAACCTCCTAACTGAACCCCTTGTCAAGATAACGAACCATGAACCCCCTCCTCCCCCCGTAGAGATAAATGGCTTCAGTATTGGCTCTTTCCACCACAAAGGACAATTGACCAGGTCAGTTGAGGTCAAGTGTACGGAAAGGGTGATTGTGTTGACGAAAAGGGTGATTGTTGACTGCTCCCCCCCTACCCCCTCTTTCTCCTCTCCCTTTTTTCTTCTTTCCGTCCTCCCTCCTTCCCTCCCAGCCAGCCAGCGTGAAGAATGTTTATGTCAAAGGCAAGAACCAGTTATGGGCCGCCGGGAGGTCTTCCTGGGTGACGTCACAACACACACACTACTGGGGTTTTCCGTCTTTCCGACACACAGCAACCAGCAACGGGAGGGGGAGAGGCAACAGTGTAGTGCCGCTGCCAATCTGTCCACACCACAAAGTAAACAGCGAAACCTATCTCAACCTAACCCCACACTAAGCCTAACCCAACCCCACACTAAACCTAACCCAACCCCACACTAAACCTAACCCAACCCCACACTAAACCTAACCCAACCCCACACTAAACCTAACCCAACCCCAAGCTAAACCAAACCCAACCCCAAGCTAAACCAAACCCAACCCCACACTAAACCCAACCCCACACTAAACCTAACCCAACCCCAAGCTAAACCAAACCCAACACAAAACTCTCAGCTCCACACCTTAGCCTTAAGAATAGATTAAAAAATGATACAATTTCATCATGAACAAAAACCCACTTATGCCAGGGATAACAACATTACGAAGTGACCAAACCTCATGCAGTCAGTCAACCTTCCCCCCCCTCCCCTCCCATGTCTTCACGGGTCGGCTGGATACTCACAAATCCCCAACATGACCTGACCCGACACGACCCGACCTGACTTCCACAAGGGTATGACCTAATTAAATCGGAATCAAGTGTTAACTTAATCTACACTCGAGCTAACCTAATATTTACAATTTGTAGAGGTTAAATTATCACCATCATAAGTAGTAACTCTTAACCGTTCAGACGGGAGGGGGGGGGGAGGGGGTTAAAGATATCCAATAACTAAAACACAAACAACTTGCGACCTCAAGACCCTATTAACACCAACCCATGACAGCTGAAAATTCCCACCCCGCACACAAGCTACCTCCACCAGACCGTATTGTGGCGCGCACTTCCAGGTAATAACTATGAATCTCTTGTATAAACAATGCCGCCATGGGTCTGACGTCACTGAACTTCACATTACTGCAGACACTAAGAAGTCTTTTCTTGAGGGGGCATGTGTTTGGGAATGACCGCGCTCCCCTTCGTGCAGTAGGTAGTGTAAGATTTCCCTAGATCCGGTAAGGGGGTTGAAATACATGGTGCTGGAGATTCTTGTTTATGTAGTGTAGATAAAAAAAAAGATTTGTTTGAGTAAGATACCTTCAAGTATCGTTAACTGTTATGAATGTGGCGTAATAATGTGCTCTTTCAATTGTTAACATGGCGTGTAATAATCGTATATACTGTGGTTTTCAGTAAGACCACCATTCCCTATAAAGACGAAGAGTGCGGGGGGATATGATAGAAGTATTCAAGTGGGTGAAAGGTATCAATAAAGGGGATATAGATAAAGTTCTTATAATATCCGAGCAGGACAGGACTCATAGCAACGGATTCAAGTTGGATAAGTTTAGGTTTAGGAGGAAGATAGGAAGGAACTGGTTCACAAATAGGGTGGTGGACGAGTGGAACAAGCTTAGCAACTTTGTAGTAAGTACTGGAACGCTGGAAAGTTTCAAAAGGAGGCTGGATAGATTCATGGATGGTAGAGAGTGGTAGTAACTCTCGACAGGAGCTGCCATGCACAGGCCAACCGGCCTATTGCAGACTCCTAATTATGTTCTATGTTCTTAAATAAACCATTACCATAAATTAACAGACAAAATCAAAGCGAAATATTTAACAAGTTTTGTCTGGTCCGGTTAAGAATACTGGTCGCCGTTGATCAGTTAATGTACGTCGTCGAAATAACTATCATTTTGTATATTTTGACAAATAAAATTTATAAATGTTACCGCCACAGTAAAATAATCTAGAAGAAAAGAGGGATAGCCATAGTAAGATAACTAGACGAGAGAGAGAAAGGGCGAGAGGAGACAGTGTTGACAACGAACTTTGGAGGTGTTAAATGGGCACGTCGGCCACACGTTACTAAGGGAGATGGAGCTGGTAGCAGCTGTGACTGAGGGATTCTAGTCAGCCAATATCTGTTGAATCCTCTGAGAACTCTAAATAACTTTAATAAGTATACTGTATATTGATGGCATTATTCAAACTGTGTCCTGATGTACCAGCAGTTGTTATATGTGAATTGTATTCAACAGGTTTTGACCGAATTATACTCATCGCGTCAACGACAAGGGTCTTATTGTCCTGCACAAACCAAAATCGCTCCTATGAGCTATTACAATACCCAAGCAGGACATGTTGGCGGGATAGCTTGGTCTTAGGGGTCAACCCATCAAGGTCTTCTAGATTAAGCGCAGGACAGGTCCGGTGGAGCGGAAAAGATGTTATGGAGGGTTTGTTGTGACGAAATGTGGGAAGAAAATCGACCCCCCCCCCCCCACATAGTACACATTATTGTGTATTGCTTTTTATCATGGGAGTCACGGTCATATTAAGGCGTCATGCAGTAAGGATCACAGCTGCTCTACCTAACTATACACCGTAAAGGTTAGCAACACGACCGCTCTTACTTTATGAACGCGTAGTTTATAGATTGTATCAGATGTACGAAAAAGTAAATGAATCTGACCTGGAAAACGGTAAGTAAACCAATTGGCATGTCTAAGGTATTCGGCGCTTTGATGAATTTCCAAAATTTATCCCTGAACAATATTGAGTCCACCTACCGAATGCTGCTACAACAGTTTCTCGCTCACTAGTTTTGTATTACCAGACACGTCAGGGTTTATATTTTTCCGTTGCCAAGGTCAACCTACCTGCCTGCTGCATACTTCATCAAATCGGCCATTGTTCCTAAACTTCCCTGTGATACAAAATATACATTAAATCTTTGTGAAAATTAATACTTTTCTCATACCAAGACCACGGAGGCAAGAAATAATCCACTCGACTACTTCCTAAAACCTCGTGCAGCGCTGCCCTGACCTCAACAGCAGCTGGCAGCGAAAACATTTATGAAAATGAAACGAATAGGTGGAGGCATCGGCCGGAACCTGAACAAGGGAGGAAAGTAAACAAAGAGGCCCTACAATATCAAACTCGCATGGCGACCCCGACATTACCACTGCCAACACAGGAATCTCTATAAACTTAACAACTTTAAAGGATGGTAGACTTTACCTGTGAGGTGAGTGAAGGTCAGATATAGCACCTGGCTGTGGGTGTTGGTTCAGGTAAACGGTCAATAAGCTCCCGTTGGTGGTGGTGGTTCGAGAGTTGTTACAATGTAGCGTAGTGAGGTTGTTGTGATCACGGTATCATTATCCTTGCTGCTTCTTTAGATGGCGTAGAAACCCACTACTCCGGTCGTGGTTAAAAGCGAGGAGGAACCACAAATCCAATGCTGACGGAGAAACGAAAGACCCCCTTGATGAGAGGGTAGTCGAGATAGAGTGAAAGTAGCTAAGGAACAAATACGCTCACCACCTCCCCATCACACTGCCACCAGCTGAATGTCTGTGTCTGCCGCACCGCAGTTAGGCTGACCCACACACCGCGCCAGCCCTCACCCCCCCCCACCACCGACACGACCCTATTCCCTCCCTCCCCCCAGCACAACAACCATTTTTACCCTGGTCGCTCACAAGATACACGACTATAACTATTATATAACACGGGCTGTCCACTAAATATAACACGGTCTTTCGGTAATTATGGACTATAACAATAAGCTGTAATTGGTCCATGGGCATAAATGTTAATTAAATACCTTTGAGGCTTGTGAAAGTTTATCTTTTCGTTGTAAGGGTTTAAATTGTTATGGGTGGTTCAGTAGTCACACTGCAGTACAATATCAGCTGCAACATGCGTGCTTCTCACGCAAGATATGTAGATGACGCAGCAACAAACCTACTTAATCAAGATAGTTTTAGCCAGTGAGTGACAGGGGTTTGTCTTGGCAGAATAAAATCATCTGGAGTTAGCGAGAACAAAATACCTAAGTGTAACACGACACTTAAAGAGTTAACAGGCGAAGATGTACGAATTATGACGAAAATCAGCGGTGGTCTGCTAAACCCTCGTGGACCAGCGCGTCCTGCCAGGGGATTCCCCCATAACCCGCGGCCTCTGATGATTATTGTAACAGATTTGTCAGCCTGTAGGAGACGGAGGGGGGCAGTTCGAGTACTATATAGACTAGGAATTGTACAACCCCCTCCCGGCCTGTACTAATAGAGGTACAGCGTACAGAGGAGGCCGGCCTGTAACATCCAAAGATACAGAGGAGGCCGGCCTGTAACCTCGTAGACCAAGGTGAGTACAGGTATAAGGTTAGTTCCTGATACATCGCCGTCCACCCTGTTGCCTCCCACCCAGCACCCTACTGCCTCCCATCCTGTTTCCTCTCACCCTCCACCCTCCCACCCTGCTGCCTCTCACCCTCCACCCTCTCACCCTCCACCCTACTGCCTCCCATCCACTATCCTTTTCGCCTGACAGAAGACATTCTTGTCACCACCATAAGTTCCTTGACACGCCTGAGTCTCCCAACAGCTGACACGAGTCTCCCAATAGCTGGCACGAGTCTCAACAGCTAACAGGAGTGCCACAGCAGCCGACCATGAACAATGTACTTCTATAAACTATGAACAAAATGAGTCAAAGAAAAAAGATCCACAACACTTGGTCATTTTGTGTCACAAGTTCAGCTTCTTAGATCATAAAATGTTTGGGATTTATCCTGACAAACAAAACAACAAACAAAAGGTGCAACTAATGAGTACAATCCCCCCTTGGGAAATAATAATAATAATAATAATAATAATAATAATAATAATAATAATAATAATAAATAACGTAATACTACTACTACTACTACTAATAATAATAATAATAAATAACATAATACTACTACCACTACTACTATTAATATTAATAATAATAATAAAGTATTACTACTACTACTAATAATAATAATAACGTAATAATAATAATAATAATTCGTAAAACATGTGAAATAAACCACACAGTTTTTGTTCCAGAGACTGATCAAGTTTGGTTAACGATTATTCCATTCAGTAAATAACCCAGCTGACGTTTACTGATCGTTCCAAAGTGTTACATCATCATCACAGTTTTCCTTCACATCTACACCTCGCCCCTGGAAACACTTACTACACCTCTTTCTCATTTACAACATCAAACTCTAAAATGTCTTCATAATTATGGAGTTCCAACACTATCTTTCTCAGTGGGTTAAATTATCGTACTTAATGAAACTATCTCACTAACAGGGCCGGATTCAGGAGTGGGCAAAGTGGGCAGCTGTCCAGGGGCCTCCACAATCTGGGGGCCTCCACATATTACAGTATTTTATTTATTTGTTTATTCATTTGGATTATTTTTATTTTCATTCTTTAAAATTCATGTTTATCTATTCCATCACGTAAAACTATGTTCAGCAAGAAGCGTGATGGAAATTAGGCTAGCCACTCCTTGAAATTCATGAATACCTGGTTTTCCTCTGAACCGTATATTTTTAATGAATGCTATTGTTTGTGTTGCTAATAATATATTTAGAATTCCACAAACATATATTGATTAAAAATGAACTACATGGAATAACGAAATTGAGATTAAAAAAAAATATATTTTTTTTTTCATTATCACTTCCATTACGAATGCCATCAGGGCCCTGTGTTTGTTGACAGTTGGGTCGTATCTACACATCGGTTGTCATGTGTCTGTCGGTTAAAGAGACTTGCGTCGCCCATGATTCGTGAAGTCCCCACCCTCTTGGGTAGTTATAATGAGGGGGGCCTCCACAAAGAGGACTGCCCACGAGCCTCCACAGGTCTAAATCAGGCACTGCTCACTAATGGGGTAAAAGTTATCGTACTCAAGGGGTTAACTTATCTTACTCGAGGGGGTTAACTTATCGTACTCAAGGGTTAACTTATCGTAGTTATCGTACTCGAGGGGTCAACTTATCGTACTTAAGCGGTTAAATTATCGTACTTAATAGGGTGTTATCGAATAAATTAATAGTATTTAATGACTTGTTATGGTAATCGTTTAAGTTTTCGTACTCTTCAATGTGTAATAATAATAATAATAATAATCAGGAAAGCCCGCCAGCTGACTGATGTAAAGGAATGAGTTCCCCACAAACACACAGTTTCCTATACTAAGGTCACAATGAATGGGAATTTCTGATGAGCAAGTTCCGGCTCTCTTATATAATAGCTCTATTTCCCACGTTTTTTACTTATTGCCTATTATCATAACTTCCCATAAGACAAAGTATTATCATATATGCTGGGATATATACTGTATATATTTAAATACATTACCAAGTACAAACACACATACAGAAAACAAGGGCGGTGTTAGTCAGATCTAAATACCCTGGCATCCGGTACAGCTGTGGGTGAAGGACAGCTTAACCTTAGGTGTCTAAAAACAAAGTAAAAAGAACATACAAAGCTCTCCTTATCACACCCGACCTCATAGATAGTACCAGCAACAACAAGATAATAAACTGACGTCATACTAAAACATTATAGATGAGTTTAGTTAAAACCAAAATTGGGAAGTCATGCAGTTTAAAGCAGTTCTATCAAGGACACCGAATGCGTGCATTAGAAATGATAAAGTCATGCACTTAAAATACATTTACCAAGACCATCAGGTGTAAGTCACGCACACACTGCACAGAACACACAGGATGTAAAAATGACTTAAAAGAAAATGGAGTAACTTAAACCAGGGAACCGTACAAAACAAAAACAAAAAATTATAACGTAAATATGAGCGAACGAGGAAAAGTGTAAACATTCAAGGAGACAGGAAACAGATTTGAACTCTTCTAAACCACCAACAAGTAACACGTACAATAAACTCTAATTACTAGTAGCCAGGAGGAAGCACGGTAGTGGCACAGGAAGTGACACACACTCCCCCCAGGGTGGATGACGAAGTATGTGTGTGTGCAATGATGATGGGGAAACCCGAAGTTGCCACACACCGCCATTAACCATCCGACCATAGCTAAAGCTCTCCGTGGGAACGTTGGTATGATGGTCAGGTAGGCGGAGTGAGTAAACTAATGAATGACGCTCCTTTGCTTCTAGAACAGTTTTGACTCATTCATTAAATCAGTTCACCTGAAAATTACGCACGCTAATTAATTTCACCTGGTGATTAAATACCCTAACGCTAACCTAACCTAATCTAATCTAACCTAACATAACCTAACGCTAATCTAACCTAACATAACCTAATCTAACGCTAATCTAACCTAACATAACCTAATCTAACGCTAATCTAACCTAACATAACATACTCTAACGCTAATCTAACCTAACATAACATAATCTAACGCTAATCTAACCTAACATAACATAATCTAACGCTAATCTTACCTAACATAACCTAATCTAACGCTAATCTAACCCAACATAACATAATCTAACGCTAATCTAACCTAACATAACCTAATTTAACGTTAATCTAACCTAACATAACATAATTTAACGTTAATCTAACCCAACATAACATAATCTAACGCTAACTAACCCGCTTAGGTATAATGTTAGGGTGTTTATCAGGTGAAATAAACTGGGGTAGCTAATCTCCAGGTGATCCATTGAATCTGTTTTCTGATATTTATGTATAAGGAAGTTAATTTATAAAAAAAAACCACTTTAATGAGACCTCTGCTCGTGTCATAATTCTTCTCACAATCATAATTCATTTTTACTGTATTTTTTTCTGATTAAATGTGTAAAGTTGTACAGTGACTCGCGGCCATTAAATATATCTCTTCAGGTAATGACAATATAACCTCGTATCTGTTCCATAAACATAATGATAAAACATAAACAGAGTAAACAATAAATACAATAACTAATATATGTAATACTATACTCTAGAAAGAATAAACATTAAAGATTTATTTGAAATGTATTCTTAACTACAGTATAACGTCCAGGCTTAGTGTTAAACCATCAGCACTATCACTATTTACCGTGACTAAAATACCAAATAATTCATAACCCTTTTTCCTGTTTAAACTTTGAACTTTATATTGTATTAAGATGTTAAATTTCCAATATGAAGTTAATGTGTATATCATGTGGACTATGAATGTTAATTATGTCGAGGAATAGTGCCAAGGGTCAGTTAACACCAGGATTAGTGCCAAGGGTCAGTTAACACCAGGATTAGTGCCAAGGGTCAGTTAACACCAGGATTAGTGCCAGGGGTCAGCTAACACCAGGATTAGTGCCAGGGGTCAGTTAAAATCAGGATTAGT